GGGGGGGGGGGGGTCCTGCATCCACTTCGTGACAAGTAAAACCCTTCAAAATAACCACATTCCTGTGTTATGAGAAGCTGATGAGTACAGACTTCTAGGGAACACCTTTGCAACCTTCACACCCTTTTGGAATTTCTTACCATCTATGATCTATAGAACATCACCACACAGCAAATTTAGATTTCAAGCACAAGGGTACTTCAGAAGATGAAAATGAAGCACATTCAGATGCCTATATGTCCATAGATCAGTTCAAGGGATATGAGTCAGGGTCAAAGCGTTTTTAGAGATGGCCTAATGCAAAACGGCAACAAAAGGCCCATAATAAGAACAAATGGTTAGTTGTTGCATCTTGTACAGTTGTGCGGGCAAAGGTGTAAAACCATCTCTTGTTGCGTTGTCATGTGGCTGGACTGTTGCGGTCGGTGGTCCTAAATTGGTTTGGAATATAATGCGTGATGCGTGCACAATGAAAGAGGCGTTGCATACTTGGGCCTTCAGGAGGAAGAGAAGACCAAGGGCATGGGATGTTGCCCCATCAGCCATTATGTGGGTTCTATGGAAAGAGAGGAACATGAGAGCATTTGAAGAGGTTGATAATTCTTTCGAAAAATTGCAAAACAACCTCTCGTTTCTAGTTTTTTGGTGTACCCATGAGGTCTTTATGTGTATAAATGATTGGTTTCTTTCATTGACAACCATGTTTCGTTGTAGGTTCTCCACTTTTTGGTATAGGCTTGTATGCGGGGTCTCCCCATCACTAATAAAATTATTTACTTTATCAAAAGAAAAAATTCAAAACAAATACCAGATAGAGGTCATACCATTACAAAAACAACACCATATCTGCCAACTCCGGTTAGAGAACAAGTTAAAGGAAATATCAAGGACTTCCTTTTCAAGAAATAATAGTTTCAGCCACCGATTAGCTAAGGCATGCAATGGTTTTAACCGATATTTAATAACTAGATCTAGTGTTCCATCCATGGGTCACAACGGGGAAGGGCATGCTTCCCTTGTTCTCAAAATTCAGTGCTCAAATAAATACACTCTCCTTTTTCAGCATTTAAAAAAGAAATGGAGATAGCTCTTTTTTTTAGAAGGGAAGATAGGCCATATCATCATCATTAAGAAAAAGATCATATTCTGGTATATTCTTTTTAAAAAATATTTCATATCAGATTTATGAAATAGGGTATAACATAACACAGTTTTCAGTTCAGTAACTATTCTACATCACGAGAATTCCAATAACCTGAATTGCTTCATTGGAGGCAGTCTTAGTCCATAAGGAAAGTTTATCCTGACTCCGACGTACACTGGCAACCACTCCACATATCTCCTCTGACTCATCAAACTGCTCACCGACCAATGCCATCAGCTATTCAAAAGAATTCCATCGAGCAAACAACATGTGAGCATCTTTAACTAGAAACTAATCAACATAATGCTTTCATGACATCCTGCCTACTGAACAGAAACCAAAAAAAGTAAAGAGAAGATTTTATTACAGTTTCAAGCCACATAGTCTCAAGATTAGCCTTTCTGCTGCTCGTAACAGTCCACTTGCCACCACTAGCACACTCAGGATCTTCCCATTTGGGCTCAATCCCAGCTTTGAACAAATGAAAGTCCGCATTAGCAGTCAACTTGCTGGGCTTGAATATCTGATCATATAAACTGCAAAGAGAAAGATTTAACACTTCAATTGACATTTAAAAGCAGCTTCTATCCAACTATTATACTTTACAGCAGCAACAACAACAACAAACCCAGTATAATCCCACATAGTGGAACTATTACACTTTCTAAACAGTAATATCTCATTAATGAATTAAAATAAAGCCACACAACATCCAAACTATGGATAAATTGCAGCAGTATATCCAGTACATGGAAAATTATGAAATTCAAGATAAAAATGGCACTGTTTGGTTTTATAGCACACTGCTTGACTGTATAGTAATTATATTAATGGTGGTTAAAGAAAATACTAAATTGATACCTAAAAGCTTAGGTCTACAGAGAACATATCACAAGCTTTGGATTGTTAAATAATTCAAATTCTTGATTTTTATATGACGTGATGTCCGGCTTCCACCGTGTACCTGCTACCTGGTATCGGGTATCTCTGCCTACCAAGGCTTAGGCAAATTGGAAGAAATCACCTGCTATTTTTTCGCTTCCGCTGGAACTTGAACCTGAGATCTCAAGGTTCTTCTCCCACTTCATTGAAAACTATCCCACCCCCTTAGGTGCACTTAGATTCTTGAAAATTGCAAAAGATGCATAGGACAATATTCTTAGGCCTCATTTGTTTTTTTTTAAGATTAAGATGTCTAAATCTGAATACACATCTGAATATCAAGATATGTATTAAGATTAAGACATCTGAATCTGAATACACATTTGAATATATTAAGATGTGTATTAAGATCATAATAGAAATAATTAAGACTGTTTAACATCTGAATGTATAAAATTTATCTTTATTTAAAAATTAATAAACATAAAATTCAAATAAAATACTAACTAATCTAATATTCTATCAATAAAATATATATATTTTTTTAAAATATGATAGTTGCTGGTGGTGATGGCTAACGGGTGAATGCCGACTAGAGGCGGTGGTTGGTGGTAGTTTTGGTTGATGATGGTGGTTCATGCTAGTAGCTAGTAGTGATTGGTAGTGGTGGCGATTATGATTGAGGATGGTGGTGGTGAGTGGTGATAGTTAATAATGTCGGGAGGATGTAGTAGTTGTGATTGAGTAAGGTGGTGGGTGGGTGGTGGTAGGTTATAATGATGGGCAATGCCGGCTGTGGTTGTTGATAGTGATGGGGTGGTTAGTTGTGGTAGTTGAGGGGGATGAATGTTGATTGTGTGTGAAAATGATGGTGGTCGGAGTGGTGGAGATAGTAGGTGGTGATGGTCGATAATGGAGGCTATGATTGAGGATGATGGTGGCGTGGTGGTGGTGGTGGGGGTGGTGGTTGAGTATGGTGGCGGCGGCATGGTGGTAGTTGATAATGATAGGCGATGGCGGCAGTTAATAATGAATATGTGATAGCATCTTAATGAAATTAAGTCTCTGTTATAGATCTTAATCATACAGACCCATTAAGTGGTTGTGAAGTAAAAAAACAAACACACTTAATGATTAAAATCTGAATAATTAAGAATCAGACTTTAGAAACAAACGCACTTAATATTTGAGATATGAATGATTAAGATTCAGACCCTCATTAAGTGCAAATAAATGAGGCCTTAATGGAACTTTTCCATAAATTATACTCCATAATTAACGTAATGGTGAATATTTTTTTGAACTCCCAAAACAGAGTATCATATGAGCGAGCAGGTAGTAGAAAGTATAATTTTTAATATGTTTTCCAGCACAAAGTAGGTCCAAGACATGGTGCACTCTCTTTGTGAAGGTAACATATTCATATACTCTTACATCAACATAACATTGCAACATGAAAGCATCTTAATTAATTAAGGACGGAAGAGTGTTCTCTTTGACCCTTAAATGTTGAAATATTTTAGTTATAGTCCTCATGCTATCTGTTTATGCATACTTAACCTTGAATTAATTAAAATGTGCACTTTTCATCCTTCTATTTGTGAATCTACCCAACTTTAACGAATTATTAACTTCTAAATCATTTAAGTACCCGTATGTATGTTAAATTTGTAGTACTACTTCATATTTAAGGGTAATATAGTTCTAAAACTAATCTAAATGTAACATATTTCCTATGTAATGGGACCAAAAAACACACATTTTAATGAATGCAAGGTTAAATATGCGTAGTTAAATGCTACAGAATCAGAATTCTCAATAACTTATGAATCAATAGTGCTATTACCCAATTCATAAAACAATTGATAAAATTTCATTAAAAAATCTAAATTAGGGCAAAAAAATATAACCAGAAGAATCTAAAAGAGATCTCGTGTTTTGTATTTTTTGTATACCTCCAGAATTCCTCAACAGTTTCGAAAGTATAAGCTTTTCGAAGAGAACTTCCCCAAGCGGCTCCTTGTTTCGGCTTAGATTGATTATCGAACCAGAATGTCCATCTCCTCTCTAGCTTATGTGGCTGCTTCGCCACCGTCTCCGTCGCTGACGCCGGCGGAACCTCCGTCGCCTCTATCGGTGCTTCAGTTGCCATTGATTTTTGCCTCAAAAAATCCTCTCCTCCTTTTGTGTCGATTTTTAACGAACGGAGAGGCGTAATGGAATTGTTGGAAGAGAATCAGGGTATGGAGCTGGAATTATTTATGGTGGCCCAGTTGATTAATACTAGTGGGCCTTGTCTTACAATGTTTAGGCCCATATTTGATAGACTGGCCTGTAATCCAACATCAGGTGAAATTTAAAAATAGCCAGATTTACAAGTGGTAATGAAAAATAGCCTTATTTTCAAAAGTAATCGAAGTTTAGCCACTTTTCATCTAAAGATAAATCTGAACGAAAATATTGTTCAATATTCGAAAAATATTCCAGCATAATATACTGGATTTCCAGCAAAATATACTGGAGTTCCAGCATAATATACTAGTGCTGGAAGTTCATACACAGGTGCTCCAATCTCTAGTATATTATACTGGACCTTTCCGTGTGTTGGAGTTCCAGCATAATACGCCGGAAGTTCATACACAGCTGTACCAATCTCCAGTATATTATGCTGGAACTTTCCGTGTTGTAGCAAAATAGTGGCTATTTTTCTATGACTTTGCAAACGCTGATATTTATCAATTACCGATCCAAAAACTGGCTAGCCGGTGCTATTTTCACTCCAACCTCGGATATCCGTTGTAAATTGCAAAAATTCCATTATACTATTTTGTTCTTTCCTCATTTTCAAATATTTTTTGGAGTAGAATTTTATTCGATGTATTATTCACGTAAAAACAACTATATTCAAAGATTAAATGTGTTTATTATGTAATGCTTTAACCTATTATCTTGGATATAGCTGTTAGTTTGAGTGCCCATATGATTTACTAAAAAACTTGGTTCTTTATTGTGTTCCTTAAACTTGAAGTAAAGTAACAATAAAGTAAACACATCAGTTTTTACGTGAAAAATCACCCAACTCAAAAGGTGCAAAAACCAAGACCTTCTAGCGTAGGATTTTAACTTCAACTCCACTAGAACAATGAATCAAAAATGTATCAATTACAAGATTATAATTCAATACTCTCCAGTACTCCTACTACGACTATTTGATTTACAAGTTACTCTAACTTGTAAAGCAAATACTCACTCCGACTCAGTAATTATTTGTAATGCTTGATTACAACTCGATTTTCCTAAAACACATTTGCTAGACTGACTCCAGAAGAATATAATACAAGTACTCGACTAGAGTGAACAACATATGACTCTTCAGTTGATGTGTAAAAGGATAAAAACAGAAGTCCAAAGTAGATAGTATTTAAAACGCATAGACTTGAGATCTTCTGAGAGTCCTATACATAGTCAGCTTCTCCTTTGATAGGACTCCTACTGTTCCAAGGATTTCACAAGTTTTGGAACTCTTGTCTCTAACTAAATTATCCGTATCTTCTTGAGCAACAACCCTTATCACATGTACAACCTTCTTCCACCAAACTCGGACCTGAGTAACTTTTGAGATAAAGTTACTGTCTTGTACAGATGTACAATCATCAACCTGAGGAGCTGGTCCTTTATCCTGAGGAGCTGGTTCTTAGAATAGTTAAGAAGTTACGTTGAGGATCTGGTTCTTTAAATCATTGCATTTAAACATACTTTGTTAATCATCAAAACCTCACTCAACAAATTCTCCCTTTTTGATGATGACAAACTTTGTACACAGTGGAACCAGATAATCACAACAAAGAACCATATAATCACAACAAATACTATTGACAAATATGTATATTCACTGCCCACAACCTTCGAACCTTATCTTCCCCCTTTTAGCATCATCGGAAAAAAAATGTTAGATAGATGAAGCACAGATAATGTAAGATTCAAGGCCAAACAGGCTACAACACAAGCTAAAGAAATATCAAGGAAAACAGACTAGGCTGAAGATCTAATATTGTATAAACTAGTAAAGCATAGGAGACATTTAGTAGTGCCAAAATAAGCCCAGGACCTCGTCTTAAACCATTAGGACAAAAAAAGTAAGCATACTGCAAACTACTCAGACTAAGACAAAAGGAAGAAAAAAAGATAAAGCATCACCGGAACAACAAAGGAAACTAAGGACACTAGGAAGGAACAAGTTAATGGGTGAGAGATGGAGGTGGTCAATGCTTTCACAAGAGTGATAATCTGTTGGGCATGAGCTTCCCTATCTCTTATGAGCTCTTCCCTAAGTTGCCTGGTTTCCTTTCTCAGCTTATCATTGTCTTCACGAAGCTTGGCATTCTCTTCAACAGTCAAGTTCATGGGTGAGAGATAGAGGGGGTCAATGCTTTCACAAGAGTGATAATCTGTTGGGCATGAGCTTCCTATATCTTATGAGCTCTTCCCTAAGTTGCCTGGTTTCCTTTCTCAGCTTATCATTGTCTTCACGAAGCTTGGCATTCTCTTCAACAACCAAGTTCATGGGTGAGAGATAGAGGGGGTCAATGCTTTCACAAGAGTGATAATCTGTTGGGCATGAGCTTCCCTATCTCTTATGAGCTCTTCCCTAAGTTGCCTGGTTTCCTTTCTCAGCTTATCATTGTCTTCACGAAGCTTGGCATTCTCTTCAACAGCCAACCCCAACCTCTTACTGAGCTCTGCAGCCCTGCTGCTCCCACGTAGAATAGCAGATACTGTGGGTCCTCTAGTCTTGATCTCCTCATAGCCATACTGCTTGAGGGTAACAACATCCAAAACATTATTGTGATTTCCATACTTAAACTCAAGCAAGGCAATGTTGAGATTGTCAAACAGCTCAGTCAACATGAAACCATAAGGAATAGCATGCTTAGGCTTAGAAGTATCTGCAACTCTTGCCATATGCTGTATCATCAGGCTAGGGAGATTGATAGGTCTACCAGTGTCAAGCAGTTCCATTACAACCATGTCCAATAGGGTAGCTTCATGCCTTCTCTCAGACCTCTGAAGAATACAGGAATTGACAAAATGAAACAACTTGTGGAAGGGAGTCATATCAGTCTTGTCACCTTCTCGGGAGCATCCAGTTCAAACTTTTGAGAAAACTTTCTTGTGACCACAATGCCAGTGTCAACATCATCGTCTATGGATGGCCACTTTTCCTTCAAGTAATTGTCAAATCCCAAAGAAGAGATGTTCAGAAGCATCCCCATCTCCTCAGCATCAATCTCCACTTCAAACCATTTCATTACTTTTGACTACCTTCCCATCAAATTTGAAATTTGCATAGAACTCCACAACAGCAGGAACACATACAGGAGGGAAGGATTTGACAAATATGTGCTTCCAACCCTGTAGCTCAAGATTTTCCACCAGTTGAGCCATCCCCTTCTTATCAATGTTTGCAAGAATCTTCCCATCAAGCATTTTTCTGTTCCTGAACTCTGTGAGTCTATCAACTGCAGTTAGTACATTCTTTCTTGTCTTTCCTCTATTGGCCCTTGAAGAAGGGGTAGCAGTTTTTGTAACTTTGGCAATTTTTCTCTTTGGTGTAGAGGCTTTAGCTGGCAAAGCAGACTCAGACTCATCTTCTCCATCCAGCTCAACTACAAGTTCCGCAATCGAAACATTCTTCCTTGGCTTCTTGGAACTTCTAGACTCCATAATGACTTGTTCATCAACAACCTTTCTTTTACTCCTTGTAAGAGGAGTCCTGGAAGGAGGAGCCACTCATTTCCTTATTGGGACTGATGACTTTGTTGATTTCACAGGAGTCTTCCTGGGTTTCTTCTCTACCTCGGACAATGGCAAGTCATCTTTATCACTGCTAACCTCTTTATCTCCAGTGAAAGGAGTTAACAGAGGCCCAGGTTGTTGAGTCCTTTTCTCTTCACTAGTTTCTTCTGAAGGGGCTATGACAGTGTTCCCAATGGTCATAGAGCCTTCAAATTCCTCACTCAAATTGTCACTCTCTTTCTCACTTTCTTCACCCACTCCTTCACTCTCACTTACCTTTTCTGGATCCTCACCCTCACTCTCAGAATTGTCCTCTTCTTCAGTATGATTTTCTTCTTCTACAGAATCATTTACTTGTTCACCTATCTTATCATCACTATCACTCTCCTTATCATCTCTAGATTCTCCCTCATTCTCCCTCTTTTCTTTTTCATTAGCTATGCCTTGAGCACTATGTTCCTCATGACTGTCCACATGTTCTTATTCTTTTTCACCCCCATCATCATGCTCATTCTTCGTCCAACTAAATGAAAGACCATCAGATGCCTTCTTTTATACTGGTTCTTGACTTCCTTCCCTTCAACCACATGCACCACAAGAGTAGTATCTACCTCTTTCCCTAGATCGCCTACACCCTTTTCTATAGTGAATTCCTCTACTTGTGGTTTCTCACTCGTGGGTGGGAGAGTGTCTAAAGGTGCAACATCTATAGCGGATACTAAAACATCTAATTTTGAAGGAGGATTTTATACCTGATTAGCAATGACCGGTACTGATTCCCCCTAAACTATAGCTTCATTGACCATTGTGTCTACTTGAGTAGTAGCATCAGGCACTTTCTTGACAGATTTTCTTAGAGTAGCCTTGACCTTGGTTGACTTAGAGGTATTTTTCATAGTAGGCTCAGATGCATGGGTGGTTGGTTTGTAAGTGGGGGTGCAATGGAGATGGGGATGGTGAGAGCAGCAACAACATGGGATGATGATATAGGTACAGTGAAGGATATCGAAGGGGAAGGAGAAGGTGTTGGTGTGGGTTCACTTGATGGCTTGACACTTTTATTTGATTTGGGCGTCATGATTTTGGATTTTGCTTCAGCCTTGACTGATAATTTAGCTTTAGAGGGACTTTGGATAGATTTAGGTATGGGATCAGAGAAGAGACTCGATGAAGAGATGAGAGAATTGGTTCTTGATATTTGCTCTTGATTCTTGCTTAGGGTTTGAGAGAAACAATGAGGTCTGAGAAGTTGATCATAAGGTCCTTTTAAAGATGTTACTCCTGATTTGAGTGGAAGAGAGAAAGTGACCGAATTTGAGTTCTAGTGGGACTCTCATAACGGTTACTTTGACTGTTAGGACTTCAGAAGTAATTGAACTCTAATTGCACCAGGATTCCCCCTTACTTTTTGACTAGAAGACAATTGGAAGTGATGCCAACAAAATTAGAAGTCTGAGCATAGCAATAATTTTAGGAAATTAAGTCCTAGTGAATTAAGACAATATGGCACGTACCTGAGTCGAAGAACCAACTCTTTGGTAGATCCTTACTTGTTTCTACAATAAAACTTCAGCATTTCACATTAATATCATGCAACATAGTTATCAGCCAGATTTTCCGAGCAAGTGTGTGTGCTTGATACAAGCACGAAGCTGAATCAAACACATTGTACTTAATTATCTACATCTAATTATACTCTTTCTAGCCAATAACTGGGGTTCAACCTAGTTGGAAGAATTGATTAGACCTAGTTCTAGTATGTTCCTTTCAAAGTGATCCCTGCTCAGAGTTTAGTAAAAATATCAGCAATTTGATCTTCAGTTTTACAAAAGTTAATTGAGATATTTCCCTTTTCAACATTGTCTTTGAGAAAGTGGTGTCTAATGCCAATGTGCTTGGTTCTCTTGTGCTGACATGGATTTTTAGCACTGTTTATGGCACTAGTGTTATCATAGAAGATGGGAACACAATCAACAAAAATACCATAGTCCCTTAGTTGTTGTCTTATCTACAGCAACTGAGCACAGCAGGATGATGCTGCTATATATTCAGCCTCAGCTGTAGATAATGCCACTGAGTTTTGCTTCTTTGTTCCCCAAGACACTAGACAAGAACCTAGAAAATAAGCTGTTCCTGAAGTGCTTTTCCTGTCAACATGAAAACCTGCATAGTCAGCATCAGCTAACCAACTAGACCAAACCTATATCCTCTAGGATACCATAGGCAGAGGCAGGGGTCCCGTTGAGATATCTTAGTATCCTTTTGACAGCCTTCAATGAGATTCGTTGGGATTTGCCTGAAATCTTGCACAGAGTCCTATACTGAATACAATATCAGGCTTGCTTGCTGTGAGGTACAACAGTGATCCAATCATTCCTCTATATAGTTTCCGTTCAACACTTTTCCCTTCTTCATCAAGGTCCAATTTTGTTGCAGTGGCAATGAGAGTGTCAATGGACTTAGAGAAAGAAGTTCAATTCACCCATCATGCTCATTTCAAACTCATTTCCCGTCATTTCAGCAAATTCCTTGCACATTGCTTCATTAGTAGCCGCAAAGATAATGTCATCCACATATACTTGAACAATTAGAATATTCTTCCCTTTCCTCCTTAGAAATAGAGTGTTGTCCACCTTTCTTCTTACAAAGTTGTTCGCTAGGAGGAACTTTGAGAGTCTTTCGTACCAAGCTCTTGGAGCCTGGTTCAGTCCATAAAGAGTTTTATCTAGCTTGAACACATAGTCAAGAAATTCTTCACTTTCAAATCCAGGAGGTTGTTTGACAAACACTTACTCCTTCATATAACTATTCAAGAAGGCACTTTTTACATTCATCTGATTAGGGGTGTTCATGGTTCTTGGATCGGTTTTTCCCTAAAAAGAAATCAAACCAAGTAAGTCGGTTTTTCAAATACTAGAACCAAACCAAACCATTTAAGTCGGTTTTTTCTCGATTCGGTTTATGTCGGGTTTTGTCAGTTTTTCGGTTTTTTCGGTTATTTGTCGGTTTTTTCTTAAAGATAAGACATACACTACCAAACACATATTCCGTCGACCACATTTTCAACGTAACACTATCAAATCAATTGCCCTTTGAGCAATCTATTATTTACCAAGATATATTGGTGATAATTGAATCAAATAGTGATGAATAATTTAAGGACTCAATTAAAAATATATTATTTTTAACACGAAATGGATTCTTACACGTAACAAAAGAAAACTACCAATCAAACTAGAATGTAAAGGTAAATAACTATACTAAAAGTGCAAACTATTAATATTTACCATTAAATTTTTGAAACTTTGTATAAAAATACACACATATATAGGTGTAATAATAAATTTGAAATAGCTACTCCTATAGTCGGTTTGGTTCGGTTTTTTTTCGGTTTTTTTCTGACTAAAACCAAAACAAATTTGATCGGTTTTTAAAATTCAAAACCAAAACCAAACCAAACCAAAAAGTATCGGTTTTTTTGTCGGTTTGGTTTGGTTTTCGGTTTGGTTCGGTTTTTCGGGTTTTTATGAACACCCCTACATCTGATACAAGGTGAACTCCATGTGAGCAGCAAAGACTATCACCATTCTGATAGTTTCCATTCTAGCTACAGGTGCAAACGTCTCATCATAGTCAATGCCCTCCTCTTGATTGTATCCTTGAACCACGAGTCTGACCTTGTTCCCTGTGATATTTCCTTGTTTATCGAGCTTGTTTCTGAACACCCATCTTGTACCTATGATAGTTCTGTTCTTGGGTCTTTGTACCAGGTGCCATACCTTGGTTCTTTCAAACTAATTTAGTTCCTATTGCATGGCTATAATCCAGTCTGGATCCTTTAGGGCTTCCTTGATGGTCTTAGGTTCAATCTGTGAGAGAAAATGTTGTGAGTACACATAGATTTCTTAGAGAAGACCCGGTTTGCACTCCTGCATTTCGATCAGGATAATATTCTCAAGAGGATGTGAGCTTTGATGCTTCTATGGTCTGATCTGTATACCAAGAGAAGATTCACCCAAGGAACGACCCAAAGGAATATGTTCGGTGGGTGTGGCTTCATCAGTCCGGTTAGCAGTCACAGTAGTTCTTTCTTCTTCTTGTTCCTCATGATCACTGTCAATTTTCTTGTCGTCTTCGGATCCATCTTCATACTGAGTTTCATATTCCTTTGTAACTCCATCACCAGTGAGTCCTATGTCATAATCTTCATCCTGCAGACCTTTCTTAGCCAAATTGTTATATCATCAAAGATAACATGAATGTTTTCTTTTACAGACATAGTTCTTTCATTAAAAACTTTATAGGCCTTACTATGTGGAGAGTAACCCAAGAAAATTCCCTCATCACTTTTGTCATTGAACTTACCTAGAGCTTCTTTTCCATTATTATGCACAAAACATTTGCACTAAAAGGCTCTCAGGTGAGTGATGTTGGGTTTTCTTCCTCGAAGTAACTCATAGGGAGTTTTCTCAAAAATGAGTCTGACCATGCATTTGTTTAGTAGGTAACAGACAATATTGACTGCCTCAGCCCATAAACTCTTAGGCAGTTCACTAGCAATCAACATGGTCCTCCCCATGTCTTCTAGAAATCTATTCTTTCTTTCTAAAACCCCATTTTGTTGTGGAGTTCTAGGTGCAGAGAAATTATGGTCAATACCATGTGAGCTATAGAACTCAAGGAATTTGGAGTTTTCAAACTCAGTTCAATGGTCAGTTCTTATACTTAATACATTGCAACCTAGTTTTTGTTGAATCATTCTAACAAATACACAGAAAATATCAAATGTTTCATCTTTAGATCCCAAAAACAGAGTCCATGTATACCTGGAGAAGTCATCAACAATCACAAAAACATACCTCCCCTTCTCCTTACTCTCATCGGTCCACATAGGTCCTGTGAAGGAGTTCCAGAGGTTTAGAGGTACTGACAACCTTTTAGATTTAAAGGATGAACTTACATGTGTTCCTCTAACACAGGCATCACACACCTTGTCAAAGGAAAGCTCAACTTTTGGTAGACCAAGGACTAAGTCCTTTTCTGCCAACTTGTTGAGTTGGGAGAGACTAGCATGTCCTAGTATTCTATGCCATAGCAGTGGATCATCTTAACTAAACTCAAGCATGTGTTCTCACTCTAGGGAAGTGACATAATCAATATCTTATAGACATTGTTATGTATCTTACCCTTTAGCACAATTTCATCAGTATCAAGCTTAGTGACAGTGCAAATTTTAGAATTGAATTTTACCTCATTTCCTTTGTCGCACATTTGAGAGATGCTAAGAAGAGTGTGTTTAAGGCCTAACACATAATATATATCATCTATAGTATGAGAGAGTGACTTAGCAACCTTGTCAATACCTGTTATCTGGCCCTTTTTCCCATTTCCAAATGACACACTCCCTCCTCGAAAGTCTGTCAGTGAGAGGAAGTTTTTCTTTTCTCCAGTCATATGTCTTGAGCATCCACTGTCTAGATACCGGTCTTGATTTTTCCATTTCAGTTTAGCCTGCACTGGAATACACAAAGGAGGTCTTCCAATATACATTCCAAGCTGTATTGGGGGCTCTGTCTCCACAACATGATG